TGAAAAAAACAGTGAAAACGGAGGAAAATTTTTTGAAAGTTTGAGTTCGCGCGCTTTTAATCACCTGGTGGCCTAGAAAAACAATCGAAAAAGCTCGTCCCTAAGCGCTTTCAGCCTATTTTTCGATGCGTTTTTCTCGATGAATGAATTTTTTTGAATTTTTTTATAACAATATTGCTTTATTTTGATAACAATCCGTACACCCCTTTTAAACCTTTCTCAATTTTCCGGTTAGAATTTCAAAAATATTGGGATTTTCAGAATTTTTCGAATTTCCAATTTTTTTTAAATTTTTGATCTTGGAATTTTCGGAATCCTGAAAACTGACAGAATTGCAATTTTCACTACATTATGATTGATTGGTGGGGAGGACGAAAACCGGTTTTTTTTTCTGAGAATTCCTTCTCTAATTTTTGAGGCATGTGACCAATTTTTTTTTACTTGCTTTCCGATTTTTCTCGAAAATGTTCTTTTTGAAACAAAGCGTTTTGCATAAATTCGAGACTACGAAGACTTGTGTGTCTCAAACACCCACTTTCTCCTTCTTTTTTTGGTCCCATTTCTCTCGGAAAAATTTAAAAGGCGCCCAAAACAACACATTATTTTCTATCCAAGTTTCGCCTCTTTTTCTTCTTGTTTTGTACCCGTTTTAGCCAATTTTTTTCCTTGAAAAAATAGGAATTTTCTGAGAAAAAAGTGCAAATTTATCAGCCAAAATCGATATTTTCTGAAAATTTTCAATTAATTTTCCATAATTTTCGAAAAAAAAAGCTACATTTTGACACAAAATCTTTGAAAAATTCATCAAAAACCCCAAATTTCAACTAAAATCAATAAAAAATATACTGTAGAACTTGAAGGCGCATTGTATTTCTGAGTAAGGTCTCGCAACGAATAGTGTGAATTTTTAGCGGGATTTTGAATTTTGAATTTTATTTTGGTTTGATTTTCGCAGTTTTTGAGCTTTTTTCGATGAATTTTTCTCGTTTTTTTCTGAAATTTAAAGTATTTACTGCAAATTTTTTGCCTAAAAATGTGTCTAAATCCGAATTTTCCTCCTTTTTTTGCTTTTTTTTTCCCGCTGAGAGTCTTCTAAAAATCCCGTTTTCTCTAATATAAAAATTCAATTTTTCCAGCCACCCCATGGAAATCGATGGAGGTCCACCTCCATTTATCGGCTCGACGTCCAATGCCGACGTCGAAGACGACGACGGCTTCTCGAAGAATCCGTACGACGAAGATGACGTGGACGAGTCGTCGTCGCCAGATACAACGTCTTCGAACCTTCCACTGCCCCACGATCCGTCCAGAAGTCGTTCGGTGTCGCCTATAGTAAGCTTTGGAATTCTAAAACTTTTTTTTTTGGAAAAAATTCAATGTTTCAGGTGAAAACGGCGATTTCGTCTTCTCCAGAAGCACCTCAGACGATGTCAGAAGTTCAGAAGGTCGTCGACGATGACGAAGACGATGAGTGGGGAGATTTTGGAGAAGCCGTGGTGGCTGCAGCCCCAATTCAGAATACTGTAAGTCTTAGCAAATGCGCTCTAATGGTAATCCATTGCGAAGATCGATAAGCTTTATTCGAAAAATAATATTACGAGAAGTTTTAAAACAATCTGAAAATCTGAAATTTCACAATTGAATCATGCCAGAAGCACTAGTCGTCGTCACGTCATCACCGAAAAACAGTTGCCGGGCGAACGTCGAGAATCCGATGTTCTCGAAAAAGTCCGCAATCCACACGGCCTCTTTCGATTCGCACGCCATTTTTGACATGGACGTTCCCATCAGAACCAATCGTGCGAATCTGCAAAGAGAGATCAATGTGTGATCTATCAGAACACAAATCAGATGACGTTAACGCACAGTTAACGTCTTCGGAAGACAAAGACATATAAATCAAAAGGTACCTTACCTTTCGATGGCCGTGTCGACGTCGTCTTTGGTCGCCATGTAGGCGTACAACTGTTTGGTGATGCGGACGCGTTCGTTGTTAATCAGCTTGCGCGCAGGAAGTGTGATTTCGGCGTCTGGAATCGCATCACAGTGAAAGTTTGGCTCTTAAAGGATCCCGCCCGGACCTGGATTCAGAAACGTTACCGCTTTGAACGCGGCGAACTCGGTGGCGTCAAGTTGAAGGTCACGAAATGGCTTCAGGACCAGATCCAGCATTTGGTACTTTTTCCTGTTGAGACCGGCTGGCCTAAAACGATTGAACACAACGCGGAACGAAACGAGAGGGGGGGGGGGGCATGTTTGTAAACCGGGCCTCTCCGAGCGAATCAGATATAAGAGAACTCGAAGAGCACTACAAATTGATACTAGTTGGATTACTGTATATTGTTTTTGAACAAAGTTACGAGCCAAAAACCGTCTAAGCTACTGGATCGCAGGTTATGGCTGGGCCATAAAATGGCTCCTAACTTTGTTCTCCGACCAGCTACAGTAATCCAAATGATATCATTTCGTAGCACTCAGCGAGTTCTATAATGTCTTTTTAGTTTGTCCGAAAACATTGATTTTGACAGAAAATATGGCTGGTCCCGCGAAGGCCTGGTTTACAAGGGGTACGGTAGAAGGTGAGCCTTCAACTTACCGGGTTGGCTCTGGCGTCTTATCGAAATAGGTGCCATCTGGGAAGACGATGGTGTCTGGTCCGTAATCAGGAGAGTTCCATACTTGCACTAGGACTGGGACGGTTATGGCGGCATGACGGACTAGTTCGGCCTGGAAAATATCTTTTTTGCTTTATTGATTTTTTGTCTACATGTGATTTCTTTCTATATGAATAGAAATCCAGTTTTTCTGGACACCGCCAACCTTATCTTGATAGTCCAACGCCTCGAAAACGTCGAATGTTTTGGCGTACTCGGTCAACACGAACCAGTCTCTCTCGTGCCAATAATGATAGTCCTGTTGGGTGACGAATCGCATTTCGTACATCTGATGACGTTCGGATGGCTGTCCCCATTGCGCCATGAACGTTGGATCGGAAAGAAGCGATCGCGAGCAGAGGGCTTCGTAGAGAGAGCGAATGGGGAGGAAGTCGGAGAGACGAAGATCGTTGGCGCACTTTTCGCGATCTTCCAGCACTTGGAGAATACATCGGCGGGAAGATTTGGGAATGACGAGAGGGGTGTAGGATGGGGTTGGGGAGAGGGTTGGCGATAGGGTTGGAGACGGAGTTGGAGAAAGAGTTGGAGAGATTGGTGGCGGTGAAAGCGAGGTGGATCCACTACTCTCATCGCTGGAACCTTCAACATTCTTCATCTCCTTCTTTGGGCGTTTTGTACGTTTTGTGTAGCCGATGGGGTCGCGACTCTGTTGAAGGGCATTTCGATCCATACCGACGTTGAGGCACTTCTCGAAACGACAGTAGCGGCAGGCGCAGCGAATGGCTGGAATTCAAGGCATAATTGAAAGAGAAAATCTAGAGAAAATGTGCTCTATTAGAACTCAGTGAGTTCCACATAGTTCCTTCCAGAATCCATATTTCTGGACCACCTAATATTATAGAACTAGACAAGTACTACAAAATGATGCTAATTGGATTACGGTAGCTTGTCAATGAACGAAGTTACGAGCCAGAAACCATCTCAGCTAAGCGGTCACAGCTTGAACAAAATTATAACCCATAAAGCTGTAACCGCACAGCTCAGATGATTCTAGGCGTGTAACTCGGTTCATAGATAAGATACAGTAATCCAGATAGTCTCATTTTGTAGTGCTCGTTGAGTTCTATCCTATCCAATTTAGCCGGTCCGAAAATATTGATTTTAAAAGAAACTATGGCTGGGCCGTATTAGGTCCATTTTGAAGATATGTTCGTTTAGACAGAAGGTACCTCATCTTTCAAAGTGCTGTACTCGCTCTAATAGAACTACTCACTTTTATCCACTGGACAATTACCCTCATATTGGCAAATGTACTTTTGCTTCTTCATAATGGTCCGTCGAAAGAATGTCTTGCATCCGACACACGATGGTACACCATAATGGTAGCCAGCGGCAAAGTCTTGGCAAACCAAACAGACATGGTCCCGTGAAGAGCTGGGAGGGGAGGATTGAGGTATCATTGGGAGACGAGACCTGAAAAATAGCGTTTGTTTTTTTTGTAGTTCGACTGCTTGTTGCAAAAACGACGGTAGTAGACACGGAAAAGAGACAATAGGGTCTATCTGTTTCTATCTTTTTGATGTTGATGATAGGGAGAGAGAGAGATAAGGGAGGGAGAGCAGGGTGCTAGAGATTCAGAGAGAATCGACATAGTTCTAAAATTGAACTGTGATCGGGAAGAGAGGTGGTATTTTGCTACTGTAGAGATGAGCAATGAAACAAAGGCTAGTACGGAAGGTGTGGGAAGCCTAGTTTTCTGTCTAGAGGGGGTTTCTAGGCCATGCATCCTACCTAGATGCACTTAGCTTTGCCATACCTAGCGAGACAATACAGTACCCTTTAAGAGGTACAGCGCCTAGAGGGTACTGTATTGTCTAGACGGCCGTGGAAGCTATATTAATCCTAGCAGTCTTTCCTAGGTCGATCTAGGTGCACCTAACCTAAACATACCTAGAGAGAAGGTACAGTCCCTCAAGGGTACTGTAGACTATGGTACCTTAAACGCCTCAAAGGTACCGTACTATCTAGAGGCCTAGTTCTTTGTCCAGAGGTCCAGTCCATGGAAATCTCATCTGTGGCCTAGATGGGCCTAGATTTAGGGGTACGGTAGTTTTACCATCCCTAGAGAAAAGGCTTAACTCAAAGGGTACCGTACTGTCTAGACTAATAAGCCAAAAAAAAATAATTAGGGGCATTCTAAAAATATGGACGATCTATTCTAGACCCGTTCTAACATCATCTAAAATGACAACTATTTGTTTTCACAAGGCCGATTTATTTTTCTGCAAATCTTGATTTTTCGTCCATCACATGATCCGATCTCTCTAATTTCCGATTCTTCCGATTCCGACAGTGTCTTGTTCTTCCCCCAGTCACCCAGTCGTCATACGACAAGCCTTTTGACCGTTATCTCGTCGTTTATATAGGGACGACTGGGGGAACAAAGTACGATACGCCCCATAGGGGGGCGGGGCCTGAAATGGCCACGAGAAAACCACGCCATTTTTCGGCGATTCTAGGGGAAGAGAGAGAGAGAGAGGAGCAGAGAAAAAGAGAATTTTGCACTATGCAGAAAGACTGTGTAGCTGATGAGGCGGGTGTTGCCAAATGGTTGATTTGATAAATTGATAAAAGATAAGAGTTTGATACTTCTAAATAGTGAGAAGATCAATGAGGCTAGTGCGCTCTATCGTACAACATACAAAAAACGAATTTTTTTTTCCAGAACCCTCCACCTACCGTACCACCGCTCCAGATGGCTTCTAACGATGAGGATGACGACGATTGGGGAGCATTCGATCAGGCTAGACCATCGACCGATCGCTCGGATGGGCCAAGTCAGCTAGCTCACCAGCAATCGCTAGAGGATTGGGGAGCATTTGAGGAGACCCAGAAGACGTCAACCACCAACGATGACAATGAGGATGATGAGTGGCAAGCGGAGTTTAGCTCGGCTTCCACGGCATCTACAGTAATCCCAGCGGAGAATCTGAAGACGCTTGAAGAGATGCTGGAAGACGACGCGTTTTGGGACGATGGATATTGTGAGGCTATGGAGCTAGAAGAAATCTCGGAGAATGATTCTTCTTCTTCTTCTCCGCTGGACATCCCAGCACTATTTGATACGGAAGAGCTTAAAGAGCTGACGAACGAATTTGAGGACTTGGAGAAGGCGAAATACTCAAAACTATGGCTATCGCTTCGTGTCATCGAGGAGGCGATCTCGCTGAAATTCGATTGGAAGCAGTCGGAAATTAAGAGGAATCATTTTAAGGCGTTGAAAATTCAACCGGTACGGTAGTTTCTGAATTTTCTGAGTTTTTGAAAATTCTGAATTTTTGAATTTTCAAATTTTAAAATATCCGAAATTTTAAGGAATTTTAGAATTTCCGAATTTCTGAATATCTGAATTTTTGAATTTCCGAATTCCTGAATTTCTAAATTCCTGAATTTCTGAATTTCCGAATTTCTGAATTTCAGAGTTTCCGAATCTCTGAATTTCAGAATTTCCGAGTTTCATAATTTTTTGAATTTTTGAATTCCTGAATTTTTGAATTTTTGAATTTCAGAATTTCTAAATTTCAGAATTTCCGAGTTTCACAATTTTTAGACTATAGATTTCCGAATTTTTGAATTTCTGAATTTTTGAGTTTCTAAACTTCTGAATTTCCGAATTTTCAAATTTCTGAATTTCCGAATTTTTGAATCTCCGAATTTCTGAATTTCCGAATCTCTGAATTTCAGAATTTCCGAGTTTCAGAATTTTTAGAATTTATAGATTTCCGAATTTTTTTCAGATCACTGTCAAAAAGGAAACGCGCGCAACGGCGGCTGCAATCTTTGACACGTCGAATCTCCTGCTCCCCACACCGATCACTCAGCACTCGACGTCATCAGAAGAACAGAAGACGTCGACGTCTCCAGCAGTCGACTCCCCATCAGTTCCAGCCGTGGACTTTGATTGGGACACGTCCGGCCTGACGAATCCGATGAATCGAGCGAGTAAGCAACTGCACGAAATGAGCCAAAAGTGTCGACGATTTGTGTGTAGAGCCACGACTGATTGCATAAACTTGTTGAAATGCTAACCTCCTTCTTGCTTCATTTAACCCCTACAACACAAAAACAATGCAAATTCGCTCTGTTGTGAATGCTCTAACCCACCGCTTTCCTAACCTTTGGAAGCCTTTTTCCCGGAACTTTGGTTATAAGGAAGCATGTTCGCTCTGTTGAGAAATTTGCTGCAAACGCGCTCTATCGAAAATTTTTTATTAAATTTGGAGGATAAACACAGCTTAAACACCTAGATTTGCAATAGAGGGCATTTGCAGACCAGTGCTCGGCGATCATCGACGTGGATTTTCTCGGCAGCAACGGCGTTGCGACAGCGTACACCAGCACGCTGCAACAGGATTTGGAGCAGTTTGGCCTGACGAATGGCAGTACAAAATCGAATAGCAATGGGTGGGTATTTTTTGGATTTTTTTTTTCGGTGGAGCGCGGTTGCATTTTTACAATTTTCGTCGTTTTTTTGAGGTTTTCGTCTATAAAAATTGATTTTCAAGCTGAAAAAGTACTTTTGTACAAAACAAATAGTAATTTTCGGAATTAAAAAAATTTTTTTTGAGAACATTTGAATTTTTTTCGAAATTTCAGTTTAAAATGACATGTTTTGAGCTTTAAAAAATGTTTTAAATGTGAATTTCAGGCGAAAAATGTTCGAAAATTTGATTTTTTGGCTGAAAAACCGATTTGCCGTAGTTTTCAGCAAATGCGCTCTACCGAACACAGAAGAATTCTGAATTTGCAGCTCATCAATCCTCGAAAACCTCATGTCTCGTGCCAACGACTCCTCCTCCACGACGGGTCGCTACCGTACCCCAGAAGTCCTCTCACTGGACGCCCGTCAGCTACTCGAACGTCTACCCGACCTACAGTACCTCCAGTCGGAAGTCCTCATGTTCCCCGTCGGCACTAATCTTCCTCATTGAGATTTTAACTCTTTTTTTTTCTTTACTTTTTCCTTTTTTTTGCCGGTTTTTTCCAAAAATTTCTTTCCCTTCTTTTCCCCCGCTCTCCCTCTCGTTTCCGCATATCCAGCTAGTTTCTATTTCAGACTTTTCTCTAGTCAATTTTAGCATATAATGTTTTCTTTTTTTTAATCCAATTTTCCTCACTCTTCCTTCTTCCCGCTGTGCCCCGCCCATTTGTGATATAATACTGTTCCCCCCTACTGATTGTGATAAATTCGCTTTTTTTTGAAATTTTCAAAAATTTTAGGTCAGAAAATTTTTAAAAATCCAATGGTTTTTTCGAATAGATTCGCTCTATCGAAATTTTGAAAAAGCCAAAAAACCAGGCTTTTCTTATGACACATCGAGATGGTGATAAAAAAAGGCGAGAAAAAAGAGCAATAACTCGACAAACGAAGAAGCTAAAAGAACTACGAGAAAACAAATAACAAGAGATTGAGATTAAAACAAAAAATTTTTAAAAAAACTGGGTATTCAAATCGGCTCGCACGCCTTCCCGAGCCACTCCCACGCCTCCAGTTTTCCCTCGTTTAGCAGAATTCGGCCGACTTCGAGGAGGACTCGATGATGATATCGATTGATCCAGAGAACGTCTTCCGGTTGGAGGAGTTTCTTGACAAGGAACGATGTTTGGATCGGGACGAGGGTTAGAGGCTGGAAATTCGAGTTTTAGGGCCTTTTTTTGGGTTTTTGGTGTAAAAATAGTTGATTTCTATGATTTTCTTGCGATTTTTCCTGAAAAACTTCGAAAAATACCGGAAAAATGAGGAAAAAAGGACGGAAATGGAGAAAAATCGAAAAATTTCCGAGCCACTAAACCGGGCGCAGTGCCGTTATTTCGGAGTGTCGTAGTTTTTTGGAAAAAAGTTTTTTTCGGCGTTTCTGGCCTAAACGCATATTTTTCAACATAAAAACGGGAAAAATCTGAAAAAATTTCAGTCGAAAAGTGCTGAAATTAGCGAAAATCGGCGAAAATTTCAAACTTTTTCTCTGAAATTTGTTTTGGACTTGAAATGAATATTTTCATCAATTTTTTCGACTTCAGCTGATTTTCGATGACTTTTTGGCTTTTTTTCCGAAAAAAAGGTCTAAAAATTGCCGGAAATTGGGCGAAAATCGAAGAAAAATCCGAAAATTCGGAAAATGCTCGAACCACTAAACCGGGCGCAGTGCGTTATTTCAGAGTGTCGTAGTACTAAACCGGGCGCTGTGCCGTTATTTCGGAGTGTCGTAGTACTAAACCGGGCGCTGTGCCGTTATTTCGGAGTGTCGTACTTTTAAAGGAACATGTTTCAAACGAGGTTGGGTCTCGCAGCGATGATGATTTTTGCAATTTTTTGGAATTTTTAAAAGAAAATTTGGGGGTACGACGAATTCGAACGCTTCCAAAATCGAACATGTGTCAAACCACAACAAGAGCAGAATCGAACTGTGCGAAATTCGAACTGTGTCGGAGTCGAACTGTCCCTAATTGGAACGCTGTTAGCCATGGGGCGCGCTTGCATTATTCCTTAACTTAGGGACTGTTTTCTTGGGATAACTTTTTTATGTGTACCACTGATGCATTTTTCAATTTTCTCCGTTTTTTTGAGGTTTTCGTGTATAAAAATTGATTTTGAAGCTGAAAAAGTACTTTTGTACAAAACAAATAGTAATTTTCGGAATTAAAAAAATTTTTTTTGAGAACATTTGAATTTTTTTCGAAATTTCAGTTTACAATGACATGTTTTGAGCTTTAAAAAATGTTTTAAATGTGAATTTCAGGCGAAAAATGTTCCAAAATTTGATTTTTTGGCTGAAAAACCGATTTGCCGTAGTTTTCAGCAAATGCGCTCTACCGAACACAGAAGAATTCTGAATTTGCAGCTCATCAATCCTCGAAAACCTCATGTTTCGTGCCAACGAC